CTAAGACCAGGCTGGAAACCAGCCTGGAAGTGGCCAAAACCCCTCTAAAACCAGGCTAGTCGACCAGCTAAAACCAGCCTAGGCTGGTTTAAGCTGGATTTTTCAGCAGGGATGTTTTACGCAGTGCATGCCCTTCCAGCTGCAACCCATCACTGGGGAACACACATACACTCTCATTCACACACATACACTATGGACAGTTTTAGCTTACCCAATTCACCTGTACCGCATGTCTTTGGACTTGAAACTGGAGGACATGCAAACTCCACACTGAAATGCCAACTGACACTTCCGAGGCTTAACCCAGCGACCTTCTTGCTGTGAGGCGACAGCACTACCTACTGCGCCACTGCATCGCCAGTTACTGTTAAATTAGACACTAACATAGGAATACAGTCTGCACGATGTTTCAATTTGTCAAGTCATACAGGTCTCAAACACGATTCCTGGAGGGCCTGGAGTTTTGTTCCAACCCTAATCAATCACAGCTGATCCAACTAATCAAGACTAATTGAGATGATCATGCAGGTGTGAGTCGGAGCTAAACTATGCAGAGCTGCGGCCCTCCAGGAATTGAGTTTGAGAGCATTGGGTGAAGTCATAGCTTAAGTCACAAATCTTGAGGTTTGGTCCACTGGAGCGTTTCAAAGGACACAACACTACAACGCTTGGAACGGATTGTTGCCCACAGCCTTTTTTAAAATTTACATCATATTACATATGCGGTGGTGCTGTCGCCTTACAGCAAGAAGGTCGCTGGTTCGAGCCTTGGCTGGGTCAGTTGGCATTTCTGTCTGGAGTTTGCATGTTCTCTCCGTGTTGGCGTGGGTTTCCCTCACAGAGGAAAATGACGTACAGGTGAATTGGGTAAGCTAAATTGTCTGTAGTGTGTGTGTGGGTGTTTCCCAGTGATGGGTTGCAGGTGGAAGCGCATCTGCTGCGTTAAACATATGCTGGATAAGTTAGCGGTTCACTCCACTGTGGCAACCCCAGATTAATAAAGGGACTAAGCCGAAAAGAAAATGAATGGATGAATGTTACATATGCAGCCACCCTTACTTATGCTGAGTTCACACCAGACGCGGCACGTGCGTCAAGCATGAGTGATTTACATGTTAAGTCAATGCAAACGCGCGATACGCGCGAATGGCGTGGAGTGAATGATGCGAATTGCGCGAATGACACGGTACGAATAGTGCAATACGCGCGAGGCGAATTGAGCGTTTTGCCCGTTTGACGCGCTTAACGAGCGTTTCGCGTGAATCTCTCGAGTTCGAAAATCTGAACTTCAGCGGACATTCGCGCCGCGTTAACCAATCAGAAGCTTGCTCTTGTGGGGCGTGATTGTGACGTAGAAGCTGTTGATGGTGTCCCGGGGGAAATCCTCCAGGGGACACCGACAACAAGTCATCAAACTGGGCTCGGCTCAGTCAGAAGCACCGCTGAAAGTCTCCGTGATCCAGGTTCAGTTTCTGGAGGAGTTTATGAGCTCATAGAGCTGGATGCACCTCTGAAAGGATGTAGTGGACTCAGACACGACACTAAACGTATCGACGCTGTTTTTCAGTCTTCATAAAGCACATAAACACTGTTATTTCCTTCATAAAATCCATGTTAGCCATTTAGCAATTAAGCTAGAGTCACCGGGCAGACAGAAGCCCTGCCCATCACGCGAATCCGCGTCTGTTCTGAAGTTAATTTGACGCGCGAATGAAGCGGATTTCACGCGGCAATTTACGCGCTAACAAACGCGGTTCTGCGTCTGGTGTGAACACAGCATAAAGCCTTTTCATAAAGACAGGTGAGCTGATAGAATAACGCTGCGGTCATACTGTTGGCACATTTGCTTCATCTGGAGTTTTGAGTGGGGGTGAAAAATTTCACCATACATTACATCAAAACAGCGAAAATCTAATAAACGTCTAAAATTAGCCCAAAATTACTAGTCGTCAAATAGACAGACTTTACACTTGTTCTTATTTTTTCCCTGTGTATTTGATGACTAGTCTAGTTTTGGGCTATTCTTATACGTTCACTGAAAGCCCAAATTTCCAATAGTATCTGGATGCAGCCTTTATGATGCAAGCTGAGACTGCATCCCTCAGCGATGCAATGTCAGACACAATGCACACAAATGGAGCGAGTGACATCCCTGCGATGGGTAGGGTTAGGTGAGCCCATTAAAAAGCATTGGATGCAGCTCAGATTGCACTGCATCTCTCCAAATTTCACCTTGTCTTAGCCAACACATCTATGTTTAGACGTCTATGAGACATCTATTAGACTTGTTTTTAACAAAATGGTTGCTGGGTGCATCCAATAAGCGCACATTCATTTCTTCTTCAGAACAGGATGCGTGCAGTCTATGTGCACCTCATGATGTTCGTGTCTCACATGCGCTTTCCGTTGGTTTGGCACTACTTAGGTTGTCAATAAATTGAAAAGAAACACTGATCTCTAAAATGTGGCAAAAGCGATGAGGGTTTGTGTGAGGTGTTTAAAAGATGTTCGCAACTCTGATTTCTAAATGGAAAGATGCTTTAGTCACATCATTTTGTGTCTGCGATCAAATGAACTATACTCTGAAAGCCTGTGCACATAATAAACACACAAAAATGCATGAGAATACACGGGAACTCACTGCCACTGAAGTGCGGAAGTGGTAGGAGGCACGGCGATGGTTTGCCACTGCCAATGTCCACTTATGTATGTAGCCCTGTGACAAAAGGAGAGAGAACGGAACGAAATACCAAAGTCAGTTTTACACAAGCGACAAAAAACTCTGCAACAAATAAATGTTATTTTTATTCTGCAAAAATTATTATGCAAAGTATACTCTACGTTCATACCTTTTGAACTATCAACATATGATATTACATATTTTTTATGAATTGCTAAAACGCATTTCTGCAAAGGGGCACTCATATTTTTGAAACCATAAAGGGATTCGCTTTAAAAAATGTAACTTTTTTTGACTGTTTACTCTCCCTTTTATGGTTGGACGAAGAAAAAAAAAGATTTAAACAAGCGCAGGGTGGGTAATTGATGACAGAATATTCAGTATTGGCGAATGAATGAACGAATGAATGAACAATAGCAAAGTGTGGTCAAAAAACACAATTCCTAGATCCCTGCGCTAAAGGTTCAATTTCTAAATAATTTAATATAAGTGTTAATCTGCAGTTTTCTTCTGATAATTTACGGTAGTGATGGGAAGTTCGGATCATTTTACTGACTCGGAACTTTGAGTCTTGTTCATCGAGATGAACGAATCTTTTTTCGAGTCATTTCGTTCATTTGGTTCAATTTGCCAAAATATTATTCAAATGTTACGAATTGCTTCCAAACACATCTACAACTAGCCCAAAAGCTTGATCACACGACAAATATGTCATAACTAGAATACTATAAGAAGGAGAAAATAATACTTCAATGTTTACCTGCTCTTTTGTCTATGAAGGTATTGTTGTCTGGTTGCTCAGCTCACCTCTTCATGTCTTTAAATGTCAGGGGTTCATTCACGTTACACTGACAGTCACATATAATCTTAATCAATGCACAGTCTAAGCCGTTAGGAGCCATGATCGTTCGTTCATCATGTGACAGAATAACTCAAATCCGATAGAGGACTCGAGAGATGAACGGTTCAATTCTTTTTCCGGCTCTGAACGCGTATGATTGGCCCGTAATGAACGAGTGACTCAGACCCCATAGAGGACTCGAGAGGTGAGCGGATTGATTCTTTTTCCGACTCTAAACTTATATGATTGGCTTCTGCCAATGTGATGAAGACTTGAAATTATCGACACTACCTGCACAAATGTGCGCACGCTCGGATGTACGAATCACTCCCTGAGAGGACTCGTGGTTCCCGAGTCATATTGAAGATTCGTTCAAAATGAACGAATCGTTCATGAACGACCCATCACTAATTTACGGACCATCTGGTCTCAAGACATTGGAATTGACATTGCCGAGGAGACATGGAAAGCGGTCTTAGCCTGCACAGGGTGAACTCAATCTGTGCAGGCTAATACAATGCAAGGTAGTGCATAGAGCTCATTGGTCCAAGAGCAGGCTAGCTCGCATCAACCCGTCTATAGACCCCGAGTGCGACAGGTGTCATTCTGGTACAGCTACTTTATTCCATATGTTTTGGTCCTGTCCTTCCCTGCTTTCTTTTTGGAGACAAATGTTCCTCTCACTATCAGCTATTACCACTGTTGATATCCCACCATGTCCAATTATTGGTTTATTTGGGGTTTTTCCGCCCGACCACACTCTACCCTCTCATTTTGTAGACTTTGTAGCCCTCTTAAACCTTCTGGCTAGGCGATTAATTCTTCCGATCTGGAAGAGCCCTCACCCTCCTTCTTACACTTGTTGGATAAGAAATATTCTTTATTTTATGAAATAATTAGGTACTCTCTTCACCGAACTAGCACTATTTTTATTAAATTGTGGGAACCCCTTTGCAAATATGTCCAAACTCTTCAGCTTGACCCTGCTCCTGCTGATTGAATATGCCCAGCTTTTACGGGAAACTATCTCTGGTCAACACATTGTACACTTGTTTTATCTGGTATATAAGATTGCACTGGTGTTGTCGTTTTTGATTTATTTTTATTATTATTTATTTATTATTAATTATTTATTTATTTTTATTATTATTATTTACTCAAAATACTCTTCAGTGTATTTGCTTATTGTTACATGTTTATGTCTTTGTATATTTTTGTAATGTTTCACAATGTATAAATAAAACATTAAAAAACACAATTCCAATACCTCCACCCCTATAATAGTGATGCACATGTCTCGATAACCCAACATAAGGACAAAATAAATACTAATAACATTAATATTAGCCCACATAATGAATACTAATAATTTTATAATGGAACCGCATTCCACCAACCAGAAGGTGGCATAAGAGGAGGTAGTAGTTCTTATATTTATGTAGATCACAGGTGTCAATTCCAGTTCCTGGAGGGCCGCAGCTCTGCACAGTTGAGTTTCAACCCTATTAAACACACTTGATCACCTTTTTGAGTCCTTCCATTTTGTTTAAAAAACTACAGGTGCAGCTGCGGTCACAGAGTTTGAGCGAAATTCTGTCGTACGGCGCTGCAAAAAGGAGCGGGATTAAACAAGATGATAGACGTTTAAAAAAAGCGAGCGATTGGTCTTTATTTGAGATTTCTGTCCAGAGAGGTCCTGTTTGGATCTTCGATCGGTCTCACACAGTCAAGTAATGTGATATCACAGGTCAGAGTTCACCAAGCTTAAACTTTGCAATGCAGTGAACTGAGAAACTTGATGCATGAACTTGCGTTTCCGGTCCGCCGCATTCGCGTGCGTATGAATGGAAGTCTATGGGGAGCTCAAGTTACATTTACATTTAGTCATTTAGCAGAGGCTTTTATCCAAAGCGACTTACAAATGAGGACAAGGAAGCAATTTACACAACTATAAGAGCAACAATGAATAAGTGCTGTAGGCAAGTTTCAGGTCTGTAAAGTGTAAACGCAGAATATTAGTAATGTAAGTTTTTTTTTTTTTTTGTAGTACAGTTAGCGGTGGAGCCAGAGAGGCAATTGCAGATTAGGAAGGAAAGTGAAGACTAAATAGTTGAGTTTTTAGTCGTTTCTTGAAGACAGCGAGTGACTCCTGCCGTTCTGATGCAGTTAGGGAGTTCATTCCACCAACTGGGCAGATTGAACGCGAGAGTTCGGGAAAGTGATTTCTTCCCTCTTTGGGATGGAACCATGAGGCGACGTTCATTCACAGAACGCAAGTTTCTGGAGGGCACATACATCTGCAGAAGTGAGAGCAGATAAGAAGGAGCAAAGCCGGAAGTCGCTTTGTAGGCAAACATCAGAGCTTTGAATTTGATGCGAGCAGCAACTGGCAGCCAGTGCAAACGGACTAGCAGCGGAGTGACATGTGCTCTTTTAGGTTCATTAAAGTGTGTTGGAGCGGGGCTGGAACTAAACTATGCAAAGCTGCGACCCTCCAAGAACTGGATTTGACACCTGTGATGTAGACAATAACACTTTATCACATTGAACTCTGGATTTTTTTTTTAGATTTAAATATGTTTGTATACTGCTGTACATCCCTATGTGTGTGATAAGCAATGTGTATGCCTTTTTGGACCCACAGCTGTTATTTGCTCAATGACATGTGCAAGTGTGTGTGTGTGGTTGTGCGCGTGCGCTTTCACTCCTCACTTAAAATATGCGTGTGCACTTGGATGGGTTAAAAGTAGAGGACCAATTTCTAGTATGGGTAAAAGCACACTTGACAAGACTCACTTTTTTTTTAAACACCTCCTTTTCAGAACAGCACACACATGGTTGCATAAAAAGGCACAAATGTATATGCTATTGCTATTTAAACAACGAAACATGACAATGATACCTTTACCTGGATGAAAATAACACTCGCATCACGCCTGGAACCACATTGTGCCGATCTGAGGTCTTTGCCATCAATATAGGCAATGGAAAAACCCTCTGGTCAGACAGATACAGCCTTGACAACTTGAGTTTTGTGTGTAACTTTTGCTGTTCGTGGTTAGCGTTGTGCATCACAAGAGCATAATGAGTGACAATGTGCTAAGAAACATGAGAGCAGACACTTGTTTATGGTTTTGCAGAAAGAGTGGGTTTAGACAATTGAGAATTTGGTTCAGAGAATGGGGTTCGGGTGTCCTAGCTATCAAATCTGATTTACGCTTCTCATCTATTTTTCCAGTGCATACCTGTGTGTTGAGAGCAGCGTCTGACTCTGGGCCGTTGTAGTCGAGTACTGAAGAGCACTGTTCACTTTCATCACGTGAACACAGCCGGATCACCAGCAGCTCAGGTGTGCTACTCGGATAGAAGGAAAATCAGTGAGGATATGATGCACACATACCTATTAAAATCCTAATATATGTCTGTCGTCCACTACTATCTATTAATGCGGTGCACTTGTTCATACAGTGTGCTCCAAAACAGTGACCAAATTCGCATATTGAAGATACAGACATTCAAATCTTGCTGTTTGGCTGCGTCCGAAACTGCCTACTACTCAGTAGGTACTGCATTTAAATTTAAACGTACTACTCGGGCGTTAAAAAAAGTAAGCTCTATACAGTATGAATGTGAAAAGTATGAATGGAATTCGGACGTACTACATGAGCCATTTTGTCATGGTCACGTGATCTACCTGCGTCAGTTGCGTCGCCTCACTTTCATTCATGAATTCTCTCACAGGGCATTATGGGATAGCGCAGCGTGCATGGGATGCGCACTTCAGAATCTCGCCGGAAGTAGTAAGTCATTCTATGAATTCGGACATACTACTCGGCTCGCATACTGATTTTAGCGTACTATATAGTATGGAGGTATGCGGTTTCGGACGCAGCCTTTGTCTCACTTCCTCCTAAATGGATTATTCTGATGTCACCTCATACTACAGTTTCTCATCAAATCTTCCGACCAATCGAGTGCTCTCTAGTATCCAGGACACTTCTCATTTGCTTTTCCGTTGATGCGCTTGAGCTTAACCACTCACCGGCAGAGCTGTAATCAAAACCAAATGCCATTGGCAGATTTTTTAAAAGGGAGGAGCTACTGTGTGTCTTCATGTTTCAGTGGAGATTGTCAAACATTTATTTAAAAAGTACAAATTCTAAAGCAAACTTAACCTATAGTGGACTTTAAAACTGCACTTTGCAGTAAGGAAAATGCACACAATGGAGTTTTTGCATGTTTAATGAGTTACATAAATTCCTTCACACATTGTGTACATCATTTGAAAAGGAAGACTTCTCAGTTATTGGTGTGAATCTGGCACAAGGTGGCTAATTTCCTTAATTATCTGCTACGCGCTCTTTAACTGTAACCCTGACTTTGTCGCTTTCATTGAATTTGCTAAATGGCGAGCCATTCCAAAGTGACGGAAACCCACAGATAAGAGGTTTTCCAGATCAACACCATCCTTTCAGCGACAGCTAGAGAAGTTAATCGTTCTAAGTCTGCCATATCTAGGATATATTGTTTTAAGAGATCACACTTAGATATTGTTTGACAAATGTTAGCAGGTTTGGCATGCTGTCCCGGGAGAGAACCCTGAGCTCGAAGATAGTTGAGCCCAGGGCTCCCGCCTGGTCAATAGAGCATGTAAGGGGAATTCGAGATCAGGTGGTTCATGAGAGCTCCCCGTAGTAAAGGAGGATAAGGGGTGGATGAGGGGTTTCTTCGGAAAACGAAGGTGAGGGAGTAGTTCTAGCTAGGCTACTTACAGTGAGTTTGGATTAATCTGATTGGCTAACTCATGAATGTAGGTGCGTGACCAGCTGCAGTCAATCATATCACATGCTCCTCTCGAAATTAGTTTGTGAAACTTCGCTTATATATTGCACATACAGTTGAAGTCAGAATTATTAGCTCCCTGTTTACTTTCCCCCAATTTCTGTTTAACCGAAAGATTGTTTCAACACATTTATAATCATAACAGTTTTAATAACTCATCTCTAATAACTGATTTCTTTTAAAGTTGCCATGATGACAGTACATAATATTTGACTAGATATTGTTCAAATGTTTAGCTTAAAATGACATTTAAAGGCTTAACTAGGTTAATTAGGGGGGGGGGGGGGGGG